GGGGGGGCGAAAAATGCTGAGGGGGGGGCGAAACTCGGTTCGCCCCCCCCCCTAGTTGCGCCACTGTTTATAATCGTCAATTTCTACTTAAAACGGGACTAATTTAATTAATTATGCACGTATCCTTAGTATCCTTAACATTTGCATGATATTTTTTTACAATCAAAGCTCGGGCGGAAAAACTTAAACTTGAAATTTTGTTTGGATTTCGTTTTGATTTGCGTCATTGCGCTGAATCCGCTGATTCCAAACCTCGAGGTTCGGAAGAAATATTCCACATTCAACGTTCGGAACTTGGTGATTTTTAATTCCATATTTGAAATTTTGTACTGCTTCAAATACCTTGAACTTGTAAATAAATGCGCAGGAACTTCAGAGTTGAATTTTGCAGCGTAAACTTACGGAAATTTGTTTGCAGGCGAAAACGTATTATTTATATTAAGTCAATTTACTTGCAAAATAATGCATTAAAGAATGAGAAAAGGTAATTTCAGCGATGCTCAAATTAAAGAAAATGTAATCATCTTTCGATCTATTTATGTATTTCAAACCTGTAGCACTTGTAAAAAAAAAGGTGGCAATAGTTTTAATATCATTTGGTTATAACAGAGTTTTGTTTTCTAAAAATATCTCAATAACTAGAAAGAAAATTAACAAACAGACATGTTGTTTAGATACAACATTTTACGAAGAAAACTTTTTTTATATTTCTACTTATTAATAAAAGTTATCCATAAAAAAGCACCAGCCATTCCAAGATTTGTTGATAAAAAAAAATCTATAAAACAAAGCTATTTTCTCCCCGAACTTTGATTTAAAAAAAGGAATAGTATGAAAATGTTAAGGATACTATAGATCGACTACCGTGCTTAAATAATCAAATTAGTCCCGTTTTAAGTAGAAATCAACGATTATAAATGGAAGATCCTTCCCGGAAGACTGTGTTAGTAAAGTCAGTGTAACATTACCCAGAAAAACTATAACTTATGGAGGGGGGGGGGAGGCTGGCGCCCCACTTTATGATCCTGCATCCGGGGCACCGCCTCTCTCCTGCAGAATCAAAACATGCCAATCTTTCTCAGATTATGCAGATTGCTGTTTTGAGTGTATTTTGTAGTTTGCTATAAAATAAAATAAAAATCAGGAATTGGCAGAATAATAAGAATACAGATCGTTAAGAGAATACTTAATTTTTAAAGAGAAATTTAATTAAAAAACAATTTCGAATTAGTCCTACCTTTGGTAGACATTTAGGACAATAAATTGTACATTAAATATTTTGACGAGCTCTCCGACGTTGTCCATGGTGGGAACCAAGATGTCCTTCTAGGTGTCCAACACAAATAATAAAAATTCATTTTGATGATCTCCATGTTGATATGTTCATCATATATGTTTTACTTCTCAATGTCCACTTGGACCCTCACATTGAGAAGGTATGCCCTTAAATCATCCAATAATTGAGTTCACGAGTTATCTAACTAAAACCATTGGGAGAGAAGTTTCCTTTTTTCTATTAATTAAATCTTTCTTTTTACTTTATTCAAAATTATATTAAAACTTATGCAAACAAACCATGTTTTAAAGTACTTGGGTTTCAGTTAATATCGACTTATTGATTAAAAACTTCACACCTTGAAATAGTGTTGAATAAGGTGATTAATGTAAGCGCTACAGCTTGTGAGTCCTACTTATATACATTGAATATATCGAATTATAGAGTACAAGAGACGGGGGGGAGAGGGAGGGTTAGATTGTTAAAATGTAGGATAGAGGGAGGGTTAGATTGTTAAAATGTAGGATAGAGGGAGGGTTAGATTGTTAAAATGTAGGATAGAGGGAGGGTTAGATTGTTCAAATGAAGGATCGAGGGAGGGTTAGATTGTTAAAATGTAGGATAGAGGGAGGGTTAGATTGTTCAAATGAAGGATAGAGGGAGGCATATATGTTAAAATGTAGAATAGAGGGAGGGTTAGATTGTTAAAATGAAAGAAAGAGGGAGGAATAGGTTATTAAATGTCTAGAGAGATTGAGGGATATATTGTTAAAATGTAGGTTAGATGGAGATATAAATTGTTAATATGCAGGATAGAGGGAGGGGTTAGATTGTTAACATGTAGGATAGAGGGAGAAGTAGATTGTTAAAATGTAAGATAGTGGGAGGGATAGATGTTAAAATGAAGGAAAAGGGGAGGGTTTACAATGTAGGATAGAGCTGGAGGGGAAGATGTTAAAATGTAGTATAGAGGGGGGAGGAGGTGAGAGAAGAGGTAAGGGGACTCTTATGAGTTTAATAAACGCATATATACGCATATATACAATACTTTCACATAAGGCTCATAAAAGGACAATTAGCTTTATTAAAAATTCTTTTATTACATTTTTGTTGGATTGGGATACTGGGAATGACCGGTTCTATCCAGAAACACTATGTTCCAATTCATTTTAACGATGTGTTTTATTTTAACTATAAGGTTTGCGTGAATTAAGGGTGGCCGGGCGCTCAAAATTCGTTTGATCATTGTTCGTTAACAGCCCATTTAGTTCGTGTTTTTTAGTCGTTCAGAAAAAAAATTGAATTTGTTCGTTTTTAGAATGACCGTTCATTTTCTGTCTATTTCGTTGGTTTCTAGCTGAACAGTCATTCAATTAAATCGTTCGTTCAGTCAGATTGTTCGCATTAAATTTTTATCAAGCTTTTTTTGCTTTGATAAATTAAAAATTACAGATACATTTTTTCATTTTAACTTTTCTGTATTTGATGAATTGGAAAGTTTAAAATTTTGAACATTTTTACAATTTTATTTTTTTAATTTATGAAACTTTATGTACACTATATATATTGGAGCTATTGAATTTTATTCCCATAATTCATGATTTTCCATTAATATTGATATTGTACATTGGAACTATTGAATTTAGTTCCCATAATTCATGATTTTCCCTTGATATTGATATTGTACTTTATGTACACTATTGTGAGCTGAACAAAAGGAAAAGTTACTCGAAGCGGGATGTACTTAGGCAAAGGACAAGTAATTCGAAGAATGACAAATCCAAAGGCGATTAGATTAGGGAAACACTCTCTTCTACCGGATACACATAGATGAGAACTTCTTGAAAATGTTTATTCAGTAACGAAGTTTCCTACAAAATACAGATTGTTATTGACGAACAAATGTGAATAATAATTGTTAATAAAATGTAATTATTTGATTGACGAACAAATGTGAATAATAATTGTTAATAAAATGTAACTATTTGATTACAACTAATTAAATGTTTATTGAAACTGATAAATAGGAATTTTAAAGGAAAGTTCTGTTGTGAATCGACCAAGAAATATTTTAAGGTACCGATGGGAATTAATAAATGAAATATTTTAAATAGGTACTATTGTGAATCAAACATGAACTTACGATCTAGAAAACTGTGGTACGGCGAAAAGTTGTTTGTACTGAAGTCTAAAGCAAATTTAATTCTTCTGAAAATAAATATTCGTCTGATTAAATAAGTTCACTATTTGATTACAAATGATTCACTGAAATTATGTTTAAATGGGTTCTTTTAATGCACTTAAAGTTTTATTAGCTCCATGCGGCTGTTGTTTACACTTTACGTTTATGCAAAATCCTTGGCAAGGTTTGGTTTGGTGAGTGGACGAAGTATATTCAACGGAGGTACAGTTTGTCGGAGACGACCTTTACAACAGGGGAAATTTGAGGGATATGGTTCACAACTATATATATTGGAGTTATTCAATTTATTTCCAATAATTCAGGATTTT